AAACAAAATGGCCCAGTCGGTGTCTTCTTAATTAAAAACATTTCATTTGAATTCAAAATACAAAACATACTACACCAATGTGGTTTGAATAGAACAAAATGTCGCTGTTTAATGTTTATCCCATAAACGTATGAAAAAATCATCCACTGTGTGAAAAGAAATAACGCAATTTAATACAATGTCATCTTCCAGTTAATCAGCTATAATAGTAAGCGATTGCCATTAACTTTATTTTTTCATTTTTATTTTACTTTTTAAATTTTTATTTTTCTTCGACTACATTTCTCTCATGCAACTTGGATATTCAAATTAGATAATGATATCTTTGCGTTTTAAGAACTTTATTGTTAGGTATACTATGGTCATTTATATCAATTTTATTAGCATATTAGTTAGGCATCTATAACTTAAATGTTTGAATTCTTATTTGAATGTTTCACTGTCAAATCAATACAAGTTCTAAAAATTATCTTATTTGTTTATCATTGGACCATGTTTGTCAGTGTAAAATTTTAATGCTATTATGTCATGCACTCATGAAGTTATGAACCATACCTAACGTTAGAATTTTATCAATTCATAAAAATCCTAGTATAAATAAACTACTTAAATCTGAAGAATTAAAACTTTTTATCAGTTTACATTGTGTTTTTATTATTTAAACACAATACTGATTATTGTTCAAATTATTTTTTAATAATCTCAATTGTTAATTATGTTCATATGTTGCGGACAAAAAGTCAAATGTTTGATGCTGTTATGAGCAATGTTCGTGGCTGATAATTGTAAAAGTAGCCCACAGACAGTACAATGATATAACTATTTAAATGTTAAACAAATATGATTTATTACTGAAACTCTAAATTTGTACACATACTTGTGGTAAATTACTATGTACGGGATATATGACTTGACTTATGATTATTAGTATCATTATTTCGTATTTATAAATATAACATAATTGAACTGAATTTTCTTTTTCAGGTAAAAGCCAAGCGAGAAAAACAAAATGGCTCAGTGTCTTTCATTTGAATGCAGAATACCAAAGAAGTTATAACTACTTGGCTTGAATAGTACTTAATGTCGCGGTCCAATATTCATCTCATAAATGTACAGAAAAATCATCCCCGGTAGGAAATAGAATTGTGTAATTTAATACAATATCGTCTGACATTTAATTATCTACACTAATTTGTTGTCTCAGTATTAGGTTTTTAGCCAAATACAAGTGTTTGAATTCTTATTCAAATGTTTCATTGTAAAATCAATGCAAGTTCTATAAAAGTATCTTCTTAGATTATCATTGTATTTTTTACCATGTTTGTCACTGTGCAATTTTACTGTCATAAAGTCATGCACTCACAAATTGCATAATTTTAAATTATTTCAAATTAGTAATTAAATGTATCATGGTATTTTTAAAAAACGGTGCAACTTATTGTTAATTTCTATTTTCCACTAATATCATGTTTTTAATTAAAATTATACCCAACAATTTTTATTGAGATTTTAACATACTGTACTTTATTTAATTTAAAATTTGGAGTCATAAAAGCATATCTTACCTACACAGATAATGTTGTCATCTTTTGAAATACTTGTCATTTATTATTTTAATTTTTAACTGATGTGTAATGGTAAAAGTAAAAAATTATAACTTTTAATGAGAATTTCAATCGTTTAAAATTTTCACAACATTGCAAACGTGTTTCATTTTTACTAAAATTGTATTATGGCATAAAGATTTTCATATATTTTTGATGATTTGCGGTGTTAAAAACTATTTAGAAATTTAACAAAATGTAATTCAGTGTTATTTTTAAGGTGGCAGTGTATCACAACACAACACAAGCTTAGCTCTGTGGTTCGTGTCTACATAAACAAATCCAGTTGTTTGAAAATGTAATAAAAAATGTTTTATTCAAAAACAGAAAAGACATAACAGATATAGTTGGAGTATAACACAGTGTCACTATTAAATGTTAATGTAAGTATATCATACAGGAATGATACTTTTTATGTAATTATTGTAGACAATTCGTATAATTTCATATTAATTCTAATTTAAAATTAACTTTAAAAAAATGATTAAAAAAAACTTTTTCTCTGTTTATGTAATGTTATTGTTTTTAAAACACAATATTGATTATTGTTCAAATCGCCTATAATTGACTGAAATATTATTTATATTTATATGCTGCAAAAAAGTCAATTATTTAGTGATGTTATGACAAGTGTTTACTGTTTATATTTTTAATACTACACCACGGACAGTTATGATATTTAACTATTTAACCATGAAAAAAATATGATTTCATTCTAAATTGCTAAATATGTACATATAGCTATGTCATAATGGTATGGATGACTTGTAGTATTATTTTTTAATTGTAAATTCAATGTAACTGAACTGGCTATTCTTTTTCAGGTTGTTTAGTCTATCGGTCCATGCAAAATTGGTTCAATAAGTCTTCCAAAAAAAAGAAGCATTTCATTTGATTTCAAAGAACAAAATAAATTATATGGGCATTGCTTATACAGAACGAGACGTCACTGTTTAATGTATATCTCATAAACAGAAAAATATGGAAATATATATTGTATAAATATGTAAAAATCTTAATACTGTAAGAAAATCAATTCACTAATTTAATATAATGTCATCTCACAGTTAAATAGCTACAATAATAAACGAAAAAAATTTTAATTTAAATAATATATAAAATATTCATAAAAGTTAATAAGAATTATAAAATATTTTAATTTAAGTAAATTTGAATAATTAAAACTTTTTATCCGTTTATATTATGTTTTATTTTTGAAAAACAATACTGATTATTGTTCAAATTACTTTTAATAATCCCAATTGTTAATTGCATTCATATGTTACTGACAAAAAAGTCAATCAGTTGATGACGTTATGAGCAAAGTCCGCTGTTTATTATTGTAAAAGAAGTCCACAGACAGTACAATTGTATAACTATTTAAATGTTAAACAAATAAGATTTATTACTGAAACACTAAATTTGTACACATAATTATGGTAAATTACTATGTATGGGTTTAATGACTCGTTTTATGATGACTATCATCATTATTTCATATTTATAAATTCAACAAAACTTAACTGTTTATTCTTTTTCAGGTACAAGACAAATTGGCCAAACAAAATGGCCCAGTCGGTGTCTTCTTA